AAAAATAATAATAATTAATAATACCATAAGAAAAAAATTTTATATATATATGGAATATAGAATATGATATATAAATATAATTAGTATTTCAATTTCTAATTCACACTTACATCTTTCAATGCTTTCAAAAGCCACGCTTTGGCAGTAGTTGCATTTGTTATAGTTTCTTGTGTAGTGAATGTCTTGGAAGCTATTATGAATAAAGTAGTTTCTGGATTTAATTTCTTAAGAGTTTCAACTATATGAGTGCCATCAATATTACTAACAAAGTGAACTCTGGGTCCAATGCTATATGCTTTTAAAGCTTCGGTAACCATAAGTGGACCCTGTTGAAATATAAATAAATATCAAATCTTAAATACAGATATCTAACAGAACAAGAAGATATAATTTAAGATTAGATAATTTTAGATTATATAACAAGAAAAAAAACTTTTATATAGCTTACTAAATCAGAGCCGCCGATTCCAATATTAACAACATCTTCAATAGGTTTACCCGTAAATCCTTTCCACGTTTTTGTCAATACCTGCAAATAAACATATTATGTATATATAATTATGTATATATAAGATATATATACAGGTAAAACAAATCTTACCTCATTTGTGAAACTTTTTATATGCTCTAACACTGCATTAACATCAGGCATCACATCCTTTCCATCTACTAATATCGGTGTATTGTCTCTGTTACGCAAAGCAATGTGCAAAACTGCCCTATTCTCTGTGAAATTGATTTTTTCACCATTAAACATAGCATTTCTTGCAGCTTCTCCCTCCCGTGCACGAGCCTATAGAGTGATGCAATAGAAATTAAACATATCTAAGTACTTCTTCATTAATCCTGTTCTTGGAATAATCCAACAAAATTGGCCCATCTTGCGGTGTAGCGAGTTCCAAGCTGATTTCAACAAAAAAAGCATTGTAAGTACTTATTTAATATACATATAGATTCTTCTAAATCTACTTTGCAGTAGCAAAACAGCATTTAAAATTGTAAAATGTAAAATATTGGTCTTAGAGTTAGCATCCAATTTTCTATATTTAATAAAAAATTTACAAAACTTTTTCTTTTAACATTTACAAAAGAGATTTCATGTATAATGTTTTATCAAATATATATATTATAAAATAGTTTTTGGGTTAAAATGAGTACTCTTTAGAGGGTCATTTCAAGGTCACATTTAAAGTGGAGTGACATACCTAAATTTTTCGAAACGTTTAGGATCTTGCTGAAACATATTATATATGTTAATCTTCGAGCCATTGCTGTCAAAATATTGTTGCAATTGATTCCATGCAGGTTCGGTTAACAGATCCGTCTTGGGTTTCATTTTCGTAATTTAAGTAAGCCGCGCGTGACCTTCAAAAATGTGAAAATCTGTCACCGGTCACTAGTCACTATATCTTCTCTTTCACAAGATGGTGACTTGGCTTGGATTTTGCGCCATCAAGCCATCAAGCACTACGCTCAGCGCTCAGCTGTGTGAAAAGCAAGTGAGAGGGTACTAGTGAACGAGCGAGAAAAAGGAGAAATGAATGAGAGAGGGAGAAGAGAGAGAGAGAGAGCGAGAGAGAGAATGAAGTTAGAACATAGAATGAGAGAAAAGGATGCATCGCGCGACATATACAGGGTGTCTCACAACCTCCGTACAATACTTTATTAGCGTGTTCTAGAGATAAAGTAGTCAAAAATTCTAATACAAAAATTTTCAGGCTGCAATAGTTTTTGAGTTATAAGCGATCATAGTTTGCCAATGATATCGCGTAAAACTCGCGCGCTCAGTCCTGTAACTACACTTAGGCTGCGTTCGGAAATATCACCCGTGTGCACACGAGTGTCGTTCTATCTTTGTTATTTATTAAAAGTTGAACATATATCAGATTCTTTTTATGTGCATGTAGAATGTGTGCCCTTCACACACATACTTCGAATTCGACTGATTTATCTTTCGTAATGTTAATTTAAAAAAAATTAAAAATGTTTTTTATAAATATATTATTTATTGGAACAAATGAGTTTTACTGTGTGTGATAGGATAATAAATTAATAAAATTCATTTTTTCATAGTCAACTTATATTTATCAATTAATCTTATAATATTCAAGTGTGCAATTTACATTTATATACAAGCAATAAATTATATTAAGTAATCAATTATCACAACTAGTGTGTGTTTGCTTTATTAATTATATTTTGTAGTTTCTGCAATAATATATAGCAAAACACTTGAGTGAGCAGTTTTACTCAGAGGATATCGAAGGATTAATGTGCTTCCCCAAACTTCATAAATCTTTGATATACATTGTATATTAACATATTTATAGAATTTTTCAAAATCATTAAATTATTCAATATAAAAAACAGAAGTTTTCCAATGATTTCAACCATCTCGTATGTAAATGACAAAGGCAATTAAAAAGGCTTCGATATCTAAAGATGGGATATACACTGAGCAAAGAAATGAATGCGAACTTGTATCATTAAAGTTTGGAGTATGTATTATTCGCTGTGGCAAATGCAAACAGAACATTCGCTAGTGTTCTGCATTAAGATTAATTCATTTGAGATAAAACGATACATCAAAAAAAGTTCGTGCATAGTGTGGATATTATTACATATTGGCTATTTGCCACTGTTTGTTTCGAATTCATAAGTTATTTTATTAAATAAAACTCGCGCAGTAATTATTATATTCGACATTTTTTATGTAACAAACAACGAATCTAGCTCAATGCGAAAAAAAGCGAGTAAATAACATGAATACGACTGTCCGAATATTCGCGTTGTTCATTTACTTAATGTATATCCACCTCCACCTTAATACAATAGATATGCATACAATAGAGTTGTATACAATTCGCGTTTTTAATTCAGCTAGTAGCAGAGTTCAGCCTTAATTATTATTTTCAGTTTGACACAATGACGACAAAATATCCTCATAATGATGCATATTGGTCTCAAATGTTTCCAATTGCTTAGTAAGATCTCCCAATTGTTCCGCAAGCGTTCTTTCTTCCATGAAGGCCTGCAATTGCGGTGCACTTTGACAATCACGATAAAACGCTCCTACATCGCTATTAGTATTCGTGACGGCAAAGGGTGTTTTCTGCAACGACAATATTCAAAGTTTGTTTCGTGCATATATACAGTGTAAAATTTACCCAAAATATAAGGCTCTCTAAAAGTATTTCACCTGTTAGTTGCATACAAATATACATAAATATAATGTGTACATATATTAATTTCATGATTATATTATACTACATATTATGTAGCTTCCAGCTTTATATTTATATATATAGATATGATATCCAGATGATATTCTTTAAACTTTAATTTCAAATTGCTAAATATTGTTAAATAATTAGGCGAAATATTTTTGAATACCTATATTAGGCAAATTATTTTAACTGTGAGACATGATATGATGAATTGTGATATCGTGTTCGGATTAGGAGCATCAATTACCAAATCTACCATAATAAAATCATCGTTGGCACTAGTCATTGAACAACTACTCCTTCTAGATCCGTTTTGGGAGGCGCATTTTGAAGTCGTATTATCATTACTGAGTCTTTCGTTATTTCCGTTGTTGCTATCAGTTGTGGCAGCTGCCGTTGCAGTCTTTGTATTTGCAGGATTCATTAATGATACTGGAGGAGGTGACGTTTGTTTTGGTGTCAATAAAGAACTGAATGGTACGTCCGGTATCACAAGATCCTCCTCATTAACAATTACGGGTTTGTTTATCACAAATGCACCAACTTTGATAGTATCGCTGAGGGACTTTGATGTTTCCTCACTACATATTTGATTCATATATACATATATATATATATAGCACACATTTCTTAATTAAACACTTTTAAAGATGTTCTAGAGGTACCGGTCCAGTCAAAAGTTATGGAAATTTTAAAAACATCGATATTAATCCTCCAGAGATCGAAAGAGAAAGAAATGTATATAAATAGTTACGGCAAGTCTAATAGAATGTAAAAAACGTAAAAAAATAAAATAAAATAAAATAAAATAAAAAAAATAAATTAAAATTAAAAAAAATAAAAAAAGTTTTAAGAGTGAATTTGCCCTAAATTCAACTTAACAAAGTGAAAAATGTTTGTGAAAAATTATAAAATTATAAAATAAAGTAATTACGAGCAATAATTTCACTGATTTTTTGCAATTTCTTTAAAACTATGTTGTAAATCGTTTAAAATCTTGTTGCTATATTTTTATTCATTGATAACCTACTTGTGTGTAAAATATCATTATATTGGTAGCATTTCTTTTTACATTTTGCTCTATAACGCCATAAGGTTACGTGTTAAAACTCGGATATTCAGAAATTGATAACTTTTTATCTAAATTGTGAATCGATCTGAAATTTGGATCCGAACTTTGAAAGAAAATATAAAATATGACATTAAATTTTCATCAACTTCATAGCATTTTGACAAACCATACAGAACATCCTTAACGCAATCTTTGTCACAATATTAGGCATTTTATTGGCTGACCTTTGCTGATATCGTGTGTGGCGTGGACTTAAATCCGAATGAAAATGATCGCTCTTAAGCATAATAGAATCTCGTCCCTTGTGAGTGGGTGATATGGTCATTTTTGTTCTGTAAGAGACTGACAAATGTATGGTACCTACTGGAGTACACAATTGACCCACTCTCATATGTTTATAATTATCACCTGTTATAAAACAAAAATGACATTTAAATGTATGAAAAATATATGAAAAAAAATCTTAAAAATACCTAACTTAAATAATAAATGAATTATACCTAAATTATGTAGCTGAGGTTCTCCCATGTATATTCGGTAGCACATAGTATAAGAATCAGGCCCTTGACGCCTACTTAGTTTGTAAGCTGGCGCAGTTCTTGACACAGAGAGCAAGGACTTTAATAAAATTCCCATTCTGTTATACACAGTATATGTTACTCGCACAGTTGGATCACTTTGCTCTGGCAAAACACCAAGACTCCAAGTTTCCAGAACCATCTTGTCACCCTCTACCGTTTTCAGAGAAATTTCTATGCAGAGAGGTACAGATGAACTAACTATTTCTCCACATAGCGCTCTCTTAGCATCAGCCGAGACCTCAGGTAGCTCTTTTATTGCCAGATTAAACTACATAAAATCAAATATAAACATATATTTAGATTCTTTCAAGTACCAAGAAACAAAAGTATGAATGTGTATGTGTGTGTGTTGATCATATCGACCATACAATTTATTTGGTTTAATTCAATATTTCAGTTTTGCTCTAAAAAAGATAATTTCTACATAAAATACAGTCGAACTTTGTCCGTTTAAAAATGAAAGTAGATTGAATAGATCCGAACGAAAAGTAGCGGGATAAAAACCGAGTAAATTGTATGGACTAGAGCAAACTTTACTTTTACCCAATCGCCGGCGGAGGAATCCGGTTTACACGTGGTATTGACTTTCTGGCCCGATCTTGATTGCACTATAATTTGGGCGGCTCTCAGTGCCAGGTATTTGGTGAACTTCTCCAAATCTTTCTTGTCTTGCATGCTTAACTGCGTTGACATTGTATACAATGTGTAATGTAAATGACCGGGGCCTCATAGACGCTCCGCGAACTTACGGGAACGAGAGGTACATCGTAGCATCGGTATAATGGAACAGCACCGCATCCTTGGTACACATGAGACCGATATTTTTCTTTCGTATACTACTGTACATCCACGAGCGCTTACACGCGCTCAACACGCACTCGACGATGCACTTCGACCTTTTCACTTGGGCATCTAAGTTTACAGGCGAATCTAATCGCGAGCGCGATAGGTTTCCTCAGAAAATTCCTCGGCTGACTCGTCATCATTGATGCGTTGAGTGCGAGCCGGTGCGAACGTGGTGCGGGCAAGTGATGATCTTATCAGAAGCTTTAAAAGATCAGATGTCAACCCAAAGCAGTCGTGAAAGTAGTGAATCGACAAAAAGTTTATAACCTTGTGCCGAAATTCTCGCTTTCCGAATAATCAGGGACACAGAAAAATACCGACAAGTTTTTCTTTTTTCCCCTATTTTATATTTTTATGACACACGCCACGCAGATCAATCAAAAGAGAAATCACGTTGCTCCTTTCACCGTTCCCTCAGTAAGGGCTCGAGCTCGAGCACACACTTTTGCATTAGCGCAAAACCATAACAGAGAGAAGCCTGAGAGAGGCAATGCTGGCGATTTTCGTGGGACGCTTTTTCTAGGCCGTAGAGCAGCGCCGAGCATCCACTTTTAGGAATTGGATATTAAATTTTTGTCAAAATACGCCAATACGCAAACAATGTGCAATGTAGTGACCAGGCAAATATTCAACAACACCAGCTAGCCTAAAACAGATGCAAGAAAAATGGTTTGTCGTTACGTTTGAGCAGTGTAACTATGGATGCTTTCCATTTAGCAATACAAGTCGACACAAGCGTCATTCTATCTTTGTTCTACATTCTATGAGGATAAGAATAGAATGACGTTCTGTCGATTTGTGTCGCTAAATGAAAAGCATCCTATAAGTATATATATTTTAAAATTGTTTTCTCGAATTTTCTATATCTGCATTTATTCTTTACATTCAATCATACTTAAAGGAAAATTATTTTATTTCAATTAATTTATTCCAACTATTACTTTTGAGCCACACTTGGCCATATACAGGGTGTTTTAGACCCTCCGTACACCCCTTTTCTTTCAAAAACTAAGCATTTTAGAGAAAAACGTTTTGAACAAAAATTGTATGGTTTTGAGGGGAACATAAGATGGTGTCATTGGTTTGACCTTGGATGGCATCGTTAAGGTCAAGTCAAGGACACCTTTAATTTCTTAAATGGAATCCCCTATTTTTTATTGCATATTCTTATAGTTTATGTTGAGAGCTTTCCAAAACACTATAATAAAGCATTTTTTTATTAAGTACTTTGTGAGTTATTTTATATCTTAATCTGATCAGATGATGTTTTACATCCTCTGGATGTCCTCTGGACGTCTTTTGAACGTTTGTGATGTTAGGGGACATATTTTGATATAAAAAATAAAATATCGTAAAATATTTAGTTTTCGATAATCTTACCGTAATACTTTTATGTACAAAATAATGAGACAAATCAATTAGTATAAAAAAAACAAATAATTGTTTTAAAAAATTCATTGTAAATAATTACATACTTTCTCTTAAAAGCAATTATTTTTTTTACACTAATTGATTTGTCTCATTATTTTGTACATAAAAGTATTACGGTAAGATTATCAAAAACTAAATATTTTACGAGATATTTTATTTTTTATATCAAAATATGTCAGATTAAGATATAAAATAACTCAAAAAGTACTTAATGAAAAAATACTTTATTATAGTGTTTTGAAAAGCTCTCAAGATAAGCTACAAGAATATGCAATGAAAAAGGGGGGTTCCATTTAAAAAAACAGCGGTCACATTGACCTCACTTTGAAAAGGTCACTCAAGGTCAAGTCCATATTTTTATCATGTGGCCCCCTCGAAATCATGCAACTTTTGTTTAAAACATTTTTTTCTACAATCAAAAATAAAAAAGTTATATGAGGTGAGATATTAAAATGGGACACCCTGTATAGTACTGGACGGAGCATGGAACCGAGCCTACAATATAAGTAAATACAGTAGCGACACTTCTTTGTTCTATGTGAGACCAAATTTCTAGTACGTATGCGTCGGTCATCCCATTGAAGATATGGCACCTATGTAGGCGTATTTGCGTACTCAAGCGAATAATCGTACATGAGCGCCTTAAGGGATAAAATCGCTTTGCATATGTGCGTGCGAGCATACGTACGTAAGAGTCTGAAATTTATGAAAAATGAAAGTGTCACAATTCTGGTATACGATTATCAAACCTCAGCAGGATTGACTGCACCAATCTTATTCAAACTAGTCGCAATCGAGAGCTTGCATCCACATTGTATTATATTAGAAAAGTGCCGTTAGATTTTTGATTACGGCTTTAGTTCTGTATAATATATAAAGCACTATATAGCATTATTATATTGTGGATTTTATTACAAATAGTGAATCATAAAACTATTTAACCCCCTAATAGCACATGGATGTCTTTTGGATGTCCTAAGGACGCCCTTTCTTTCAATGCGGAATATGCAGAGGATATCCTATTATGTTCCTCATACTTTTCCAGGATGTTCTGAGGAATAGCAAATGAGCGCCTCACTATACCTAGAAATATCCTCAGGATATTCCATTTCAAAGTCCTACGGATGTCCATAAGATGTCCGTAAGACCAAACAATTATAGACATAAAATTCCGAATAAGCTACTTGGTAGCGCGGCGGTTCCTATACATAGGCAAAACTGTTGACAAGCCAGGAAGAAATTTTTATGTACTTGGCATCGCAACGCTACCGCGTCGCTTGATATGACTGTATAATAATGACGATCTCGCGTCTTCCCGCGAAGATTATCCATAGAAGAAAAAGCAATCCTTTATTAGAAGATTAAGTAAACCACGCGTAATACATACAGGATGGGGAAAAAGTCCCGGACTGAAATATCTCGGAAAGAGTTTTATTTTTTATATCAAAATATGTCAGATTAAAATATAAAATAACTCAAAAAGTACTTAATGAAAAAATACTTTATTATAGTGTTTTGAAAAGCTCTCGAGATAAGCTACAAGAATATGCAATGAAAATTAGAGGTCCCCATTTAAAAATTCCAATTTGGCCTTAAAATGACCCCTAAATTTGATCCCTAGGTCAAGGTCACCATCAAGTTGTTTTATTCTTATTATGGCATGTTTATTCTTATCATAATACTTTCCTCGGAGTCATCTTATGCCGGGAATTGTACATTCTTCGTATCGCTATTATGTGTATGTATTTAACAATTATTACTGGAATACATATATATATACACGCCGTTTCCTCTATTTTTCCCGCCCCTTCTCTTTTTCCTCTGAATATTTGCGTGATTTTTTGACGATTCTATTTATGAATAAAATTGCAAAGCAGCCGATCTATTATATGAGTTATATTTCATTTCTATCTAATTTTTCGTTTATCTTTGAGATTCCGCATTGATTTTTTTTTCAATTATTTCTCTATATTTATTCTAATATGTACCTCCATCTTTTCGATCGTCTTTTCTATTAACGATTTGATAAAGTTTTTATTTGAGATTCACTGTACTTAAATACAATTATTTATCACAATTATTTATTATTGTATGAAAAAACTTTAACTACTTAATTTAATTACTATCAATTTTATTAAAATCCGCAATTTTTTAAGTCTTTCATATATTCATCGTGCTGTGCGTTTTTGAGAATTTTTTTTTGAATAATATAATAAAGCTTTTATTTTTTTTCTCACCTTTTTCTGCAACTCGATCCCTTCACGACCTCTCCTAACGTTGCCATTTTGATTTTCAGATAACAAATTTTTGGAGTCGCTGATATCATCCCCGATTGACATCACCGTAGCTATGAAGGCCTTGAATATTGAGAACAAAAAGATTTGCCCCAAATGCTTCAAAGTATTGTGAAACGAATGTTCTTTGAAACGTCATCTTAAGAATGTCTGCGATAAGATTCGTAATCCCAATGGCAAATTCCAATGCGAGAGATGTAATGAGAAGGCGTACATTAGTAGAGGCAGGCTGATGTATCATCAAAGATACGAGTGCGGCATACAGCCCTCGTTTAAAAGCATATCAATCGTAAGTAAATTGTTGAATGTAAATTGAATAATTAATAATAGAAAATAAAATATGTGTATTTTTTGTCTATTAATTAACTTTATGACATTTTAAAATTATTTTAATCTATTTTTATTCTTTATATTTGGTCATATATAATATATATAATATATATAATTATGATAAAATATTTGTGGCTTGTAAGACAATATATTCCAAATATTTTGTATAATATATAAAGCACTATATAGCATTATTATATTGTGGATTTTATTACAAATAGTGAATCATAAAACTATTTAACCCCCTAATAGCACATGGATGTCTTTTGGATGTCCTAAGGACGCCCTTTCTTTCAATGCGGAATATGCAGAGGATATCCTATTATGTTCCTCATACTTTTCCAGGATGTTCTGAGGAATAGCAAATGAGCGCCTCACTATACCTAGAAATATCCTCAGGATATTCCATTTCAAAGTCCTACGGATGTCCATAAGATGTCCGTAAGACATCGTAATTTTTGAAACGTCCATAATGCATTCAAAATTAATCCAGAATATGTTATCAAGGTACTTTATTTTAAGGATAACATACTGAATATAATTTATATAAGATATATATATTAATAAAAGGAAAAATATAGAATATTAAATATAACAAAAGTTCATAAATTATTTTCTTTATAAAATTACGTTCTGTTATTTATTGTCAATATTAAAAATTTAATACTGAAAATAGTTCACGTTCTTTGTGAGGCTTTTGTGCTGTACATGAATATATTAGATTTGGCTTCCGGGTTTGAGCCGTTTAATATTTTCTAAACAATTCAATATCTGAATTTCCTATGTTGGGATTGCATCAGAAATTGAACTGATAGAAAATATAATTACATTTTTAATTTTCTGCAAGTTGCTTTTTGCAAGCTTTATACAATTCTCATGACCAAATTTCAAATACGAGATGAACGCACCGCAAGCGCGTCGCATAGCGGTAAACAAACGAACTAGCGGCTGAATACTATTTTTTGTGAAGTTTTTTGAATGTTGCGCACAGTAATATTTCTCATGAAATATTAAATAAATAATAATTTTGGATATATGAAAACGTGCGCATCAAATTCAATTATTAATATTAAACAAAATTAATGTTAACAATTAATTGCCAGATAACACATGTATGTTCTCTGGAAATCCAAAGGACATCCAATATAATAGACAGAACAGATATCCTATAGACATCCAGGGGTCATCCAATGGACATTTATAGGACATTAATACTTATTATAATACTTAAGAGTTCTAAATTATATTAAATAGCCTACATAACTGAAAGTAATCATGTATGCGTATTAAATTTTCATAAAATATATTTATAATGATATCTTAAAACGTCCTACAAATGTCCTGAACCGTCCTGGACATGATCAGGATGATCCTGAGGATGTCTTGTGCTGTCTGGGTATGGATTAGAAAGTAATGATTTTAGATTGGAAATAATCCGCGAAAGCGATATTAAAACCGATTATAGTTCGTTCGGAATTAAAATCGATTACTTTTTAATCCGGACGCGGATTGAACCGATTAAAACCGATTAAAACCGATTAAAACGGATCATGTTTTAATCGGTTTTAATCGACCATTTTTGGCAGGGCTACGATGTCATTTGTCGAAATCTAGTAAATCTGTTCACTTTTGTAATTTTCACTTTGTTTCAAAGATACACAATCGACCCCTTGGGCTGTGTTCCGATTCTCCACCTGAGTGCACCCGGATATTATAGTGTGCGTGACATAAGGGCTGCGTTCCGTTTCATGCACGATGCGCATGATGCATTACTTATCCTTGTTGTTCACTGAATGTTAAACAAGGATAAGTCATGCATCATGCGCATTATGCATGAAACGGAATGCAGCCCTACTTTGTTCGCGTTGCTTGAAATTCCCAAAAAGTTCTGCACTGAAAACGAGATAAATATATATTCGGATCATGAAGTAAGAGAGAAGGAGATCGAACTTGATAGCGCGTGAGTAAAAAAATGGCCCTGATTCGTGACCCCTAATTGAGAGAGAGTCCGCTGAAGGGAATAGTTTCTCATGGATGGACGCCATGTTTAAAGCTAACCTAAAGCAGTGTCGTGGTCAGCTGTACATGTTGCATCGCTGATCGCTGCACATGTTTGTTGCTCCGATTATAAAGCCAAATAAACTGAGAGCATTAAAAAAGAGTTTCTTTTATTGTGTGCATTGTTATAACGTATTCCGACAGCGGGAGATGGAAAATATCCTCGTCGAAAGCAATAAAACAGAAAGGTAAGTAATAGAAGTAAACAAGTAAACTTTTGATTAAGTAAAAGTGAATAATGCATAGTATTTTTTCAGTATAATGGAAGAAAACTCAAAGAATATAGAGCATGAGACAGATGAATTAAAATTCAAATATTTGCAAAGAAATTTGAATTTAGTCGAACGGCCTTCTTCGAATTGGGGATTTTCAAGAGGAAACGATACATTTTTTGGTTTTATGAAGGCAGAAAGTAATTTCAGTGTCAGAAAAAGAGTTGCTGTGTTCCCAAATTGACATATTAATATTTATATTGATGACAAGATTATGCCCTTTTCAAAATATATAAAAGTAACAACCCAGCAAACACAGAATATAACTGCTATATAACATGGGAATAACATGTAATGTAACGGTTGTTATACCTAATTTATATTGGGATTATATTGATAAGATGAGCGAAATTTTGAAAACTATGGATTGAGTTTAATTCACATTCTGTAAATAATTGTACATATACATCAAATATGACCACTTTTGTTTTATGGAGTTCGATCTCCTTCTCTCTTACTTCATGATTCGGATATTGAAGAAAGTGAAAGCGAAGATACTGAGTGCAAAAAGTTCAACCAACGCGAACAAACCTATATACTATAATATCGGGTGCACCCGGATGGGAAATCGGAACACAGTTGGCACGCAGAGCCGTAGCGGCGATTTCTCGCCTTTCACACGCGCGCGCGCTTGTGCGAGGGCTAAAAGAAAAGGAGCGTGGAGAGCGGCGAGAGTGGAAAAGCCCTCGGCAAGAGGCGGGCGAAACCGCGACAGAGTCAGTAAAGGGAATCGGGGATTAACCACTCTGAGAGATGTCCCCGTCTGCAGATTCCTTGCTCGCTCAACCTCGCCGACATACCGGATAATGGTGGCGAACACGTTACGTGTATTCTTTGAGTTTTTAAAATAACCACGAGGGATTAACTGACTCTCACGACAAGGGTCTTTTGGGTCAAATGAGTCCGATCGTGAGTCGAGAAGTTGAGTTAGCGTTACTTCTCGTATAGATGTATAATTGTGCCGACTTGTACGATTGTTTGTTAGCACGTAAGAAATTTGATTTTAGGCGAAGGTGGACAAATAATGAGTTTTTCTACCTAAAAAAAAATAATTTCTAAAAAATATAACACACACATACACACAAAGTACTTAGACACACATACACATACATACATACACAAATCACAATTCTTCAAAAAAATTAATTTTAAGCGAGACCGAAGAAATGGTCATTTTCTATGTACTTACAACTGGAAAGTGATAATTTCCTATGTATTTACAACTGGAAAGTTTTTCTAATATTTCAGCCATTTTTAGAGAGATGTTCTAAGAGAAAGCCATGCAATTAAATCTCTTTTTATGCTAAATTTTATTCAGAAATTTGTTTGATAAATAAGATATTCTGTAGTAAAAAATATCAATAAAAACCCCGACTACAAACTGTATATTTAAAAAACTATACAATATAATGATTAAAATAGATGTTACATTAATTGATCATGCAGTAAATTTAGTACTTCTTTGATTATAATAACTTTATAATCAATTTTCATATATTTGTATTTTCAATTGACAAAACCTATCGAGATACGATGCAATACATTATTGGCTTATCTAACCAAGGCAAATCGTGTCTATTCTTATTGCTTCATGTGACGCGATATCAAAGAAATACATGCTATATCCATATCGATCGCTTTTTTCTTATCCATGTACAAAACGCTGCAAGAAACTCTGCATATATTGATCTCATGTGAAAAAAAACCGAAGGCCAGATACGATCGTGATTGATAAACACATTCATTATTGCTGCCTTATGCAGATTTTTTATTAATAAATTCTTGCTCGAAAAATTTCGAGCATATAAATTTATTAATAAAAAATCATTTGCAATCAAATTGAGATATTCGGCAAGGAAAATTTACAATAATCCAATTATATCCGATCTAAACAATCGTAAAAAATTATACATTTATATTAATTCATCCAAATTTGTAAAAATTGCGTATTGTTTACTGCGCTAAGCTCTTAATTAGGCCGTTATTCCTTTTTATATATTATATTTATATGTTAATAATAATTGTTATTATAGTGCTGCGTGTATCTATATATGTATGTGTGTGTGTGTGTGTGTGTATTATCTGTTACATTATTACTTTCTTGGTTATATAATAATTGTTATCGATTGTTCGGTTAGCGAATATCTCCCGGCTGCGAACTCGCAAAAAACTTTTCATCCTCGCAGGAATTTTATTCCCAAGCAAATATTCGTTCATTGGCTGCCGCTCATCGCGTGAGCAGATTTTTCACCTTGGGAGTTTACGGGCTACACGTGCGCTTCCGGATGCCTTCCAGGCGACTAGTATGAATCGAGGGGTCTGGGAGGCCACAGGGGCAGTTAAAATATACATATGTATATCGCGACCCACGGAACCCGAGACCAGAACCAGCCTTTTCAGTGCGAATCACAGATATCTATACTACTACTAGATCGCTAACTTCGTTAAAAGAGCTGTGGCCGGCCGGATTTCCGTTTAAATTCACAATTTAAATATTGGGTGTCACGTACGCCGAAACCGGAAATCCGGCTGGCCACAGCTTTTCATATGTCAAAGCCCGAAGTTAGCGATCTAGGTTTAGTATAGACATCTGTGGTGCGAATCCTTACAAGCAGTATGTATTTCGAGCGATTATTACAAGTAATTAGTCAGATTCTAGAACATTCGATATTTCAAAAATTATCTTTATGCGACCACGTGCTAGCCCTTGCGATTTGACTGAAATTGGGCAAGACTTGTATCAAACAATGGAATGATCCCTACGCGAAACGGAAGTGCATTCGAGGGGACCATCGTGGCAAATTAGAACGATTCCGAAAAACGGAACGAACTGAACGTGTCGTGCCGAGAAGCCCACGGCCTGCTAATCAATCTCTGACAGCCAGAACTCCAACCGACCGAATCGACGCACGGCGAGGCGGCTACATCAGTAAAAATGAATTTTAAGAAAAAAATATTAAAATGTAATTTTAATTAATTAGTTTTACATTAATTCTATTTATTTTATTAATTAATCAAAATTAATTCTTCTTTCATCTTTAATTTTTAAATCTTATTTTTGACAACAATAGATCTCATGACAGTTCGTTGTTGCTATTTCATGAAGGGCTTCGAGCATGAAAGTTTATGAGTCATTTGCAATCAAATTGAGATATTCGGCAAGGAGAATTTACAACAATCCAATTATATCCGATCTAAATAATCGTGAAAAATTATACATTAT